GGTTCGAGGCGCGCCTGACCTTTTCCGAGATCCAGGCCACAACGCCGCGGCGCACGACGAGCTCGGTGGCCACCGGCGGAGTGCGCGCCAGCCAGACGAGCGTGTCCTCGATGAGAGCCTTGACGATCTCGTCGTCGTCGCCGCCGTCCTTGTTGGACGCAGCGGCAGCGTGCGGCAGTCCGCCGAGGGCGACGCTGTCGTACAGGCTGGTAAGCAGCTCCCAGACGTGCCTGCGCTTCCACACCTTCCACTCGGGCTTGCCGCCGGCGCGCGCCACGTCGCGGAGGAAGCGCAGCATCCAGATGCGCTCCTGGCGGTGCGTCTCGCTCGACGAGTAGAGCATGTTGTACAGCAGCGGCACGTCGGTGCTGTCGAGCGTCGGCCGCTGCAGCAGGAACTTTTGCAGCAGCGGAAAGGTGAAGAGCGACGGGTGTCCGATAGAGCGCAGCGTGTGCGCGACAAACAGCGTCGTCGTCAGCGGCAGCGAGGGCGGCGCCTCCCAGCCGCGCTGGGCGTCGTCGTAGGCGTCCTTGGGGATGCAGCCGCGCAGCAGGTCGAGGGCGAGGAGGACATAGTCGCGCTGCGCAAAGCCAACCTCGGCGACGCTCGCATAGCACTTGCCGAGAAGCTCGAGGCAGCCCTTGCGCATGTCGGGGCACCGCGAAGACAGGCCGCACACGACGACGCCGAGCACATTGGTGCGCAGCACCTGGAGCCACTCGAAGCCGTTGACCTTGCTCTCGGCCAGCGAGCCGGCGAGCAGGGAAAAGAGAAAGACGGGATCGTACCGCGTCGTGGCGTCCGAGTGGCCGGCAGCTTCGTCGCGATCGACGTCGGCGGCGTAGCCGGACCTCGCAGAGCGGCGCAGCGGGATGGCGCGCGGGTACTCGGTGCACGTCGCAAACGCCACCGCCGGATCGAGCGAGAGGAGCGCCTCGAGCACCTTGTTCTGCGACGAGAGGGCGTCGGCCGACATGCCTGCCGCCGGGCTGGCCCAGTGCCGGGCGAGCGAGAGGAACGAGGAGCCGCACTCCTCCTCAAACAACCGGAAGACGTCGAGTAGGCATCGGTCGGCGAGCGAGACAGTGCCGCCATAGACGGCTAGCAGCTTGGTCATCAGCGGCAGCGTGGCGAGCTCGATCGGCTGGCGCGAGACGATGGCGTGGATTGCCTGCACAATCGTCAGCCGGTGCTCGTGCTGCTCGTCTTCGAGGCGGGCCCTGGCCTCGTCGCTGTCGTCGTCGTCGAGGATGGCCGAGGCGGTTTTGTCGGCGGGCTGCAGCCCATCCTCGCTGCCGACGACGGGCGCCAACAGCGGCGCGGTGCCGGTCGCGATGGCCTGGAAGTCGCCGTGCGACGTGATCGTGGAGAGGTACCTCGACAGCTGCGGTGTCTTGAGAGCCGATGCGGTGCGGCAGAGCGACAGGACGAGCTGGATGGGCGCCGAGCTCAGCATCCTGTTGCCCAGGGCGGCTTCGATGACCGGGTCTGCCAGGTGGCCCTTGACCTTGATGGCATCGGCGAGCCTACCGGTGGACGCGTCCTCGACGAGCGCGGTAAACGTCCTGATGCGCCCGACGAGGTCGATGTGGTCGTTGTCGTCCTCGGCGAACCGGCGGACGAGGTAGAGGAGGCCCTGGTCGATGGAAGCCTGCACGATGGCCGCGCGCTTATCAGCCGGTCCGGCGTCGGAAGACAGCACGGACTGCGTCAGAGCGAGCAAGCCGGGTGTGAATGTGTCCCTCGGCTGCAAGCCCGTCAGCAGCTCAAGAACGGCATCGAGGACCGAGGCGAGGCCCGTGGCGAGGCCTTTGTGCGAGGCAGCCTGCACGAGCGTGTCCAGGCAGGCGCACAGGGCCATCTCGACGGCGACCGAGTCGGCGCTCAGCGAGACGGGCTGCTTCTTGGATGCTGCCGGGCGCAGATCCACCAACGCCGCGCACAGCAGCTTTCCGAGCCGGGCGAGGACGCCCTCGGTCCAGTGCTGCGCACCGCGTCCATCGTCGACGAGGTGACGCAAGGATGTGCGGATCGTGAAGGCGTGGCTCCTGACCTTGGCCTTGGCGGCGTTGGCGTCGTCGCCGACGACGATACGTGAGAGGAGTGCGGCGACCAGGTCGACGTTGGAGCCAGAAGCCTCGAGCGCCTTGAGGAGGAGCGCGTCGGTGCCGACGAGAGCGTCGAGCTGGAAGAGCTGCTCTACGCCGCTGCTGCGGCTCTCATCGTCGTGGTCATCGGCCGGCCAAGAAGTCTTCGCCGATGCTGCCCGGTCGAGGAGGACGAGAATGAGGCTCGCGCTCCGCTCGTTCTTGTTGCCGACGCGGCCGATGAGGCCGGACAGCATATCGGCCTGACCGGCTAGGCTGCTCTGCGCCGCTCCGGTCGTGTCGAGGCCGGTGCAGACGTTGAGGGCCTCGAGAGTCAGGGAGACGCTATCGGCGAGGTCGCCACCGTGGCTCTGGGCCTGCAGCGATGCGAGGAGCAGCTTCGTCGCCTGCAGCAGCGCATCGTCGTCGGCGAAGGGCGCCAGCTTGAGCAGCGCCTGGAGCTGGGATGCGGGGCCAGTGCCGCCGAGAGCGGCGAGCACCACCTCGATGATCGGCGCGACCAGCCTGCGATGCATCGACGACGTCGGCACCAGCACCTGCGAGACGACGTCGGCGATCTCGACGATCAGAGGCAAGGCGTCGGCGCGGCTGCCAGACAGGCACGCGAGGAGCGACGACTTGGCAAAGACGAGGCGCTCGAGGTCGGCCGCATCGAGGACGCCCGAGGCGACGACGCGACGAAGGATCGAGGCGGTCTGATGCAGTTGCGGGTCGGTGCTCTCGACCGAAGACGACGACGCGAGGCGCTCGATGGCCATGGCAGCGGCAAGCTTGGCCTGGACTGGCGAGGTCCACGCATCGAGCTCGTCCGGGTCGATATCGTCGACGTCCACGAACGGATCGACCTCGTGCTCATCCTCGAGCTGCTGAGCCGCCGGCATGTGCAGCAGCGGCAGCCGGCCTAGCTTGGACGAAGGGAAGCTGTCGCCGAGGGCCACGGCGAGGTTCTCCTCTGTGGCGTGCAGCTCCTGCAGGATCTGCGGGGCGCCCGAATGGCCGAGTGCGCGGAAGGACAGCGCCTTGCGACACAGGCCCGATACCGCAGCCTGCGAGAGCGGCCGCTGGGCGATGCGGAGGAGTCGCCGGACATCGGCAGGAGAGGTGGCATCTGTAGTTGCATCGAAACAAAGCGGCGGACAGCGTCAGTCGAAGCTGGCCGTGGTACGGCGGCATGTTGGCAAAGTGGCCCTCGCACGCGGCGCGGAGGGGGCCATGGGCGCAGGACAGGTCCATACGCAGCAGCGCTCGCTAGCACCACCGCCGGTAGCGCCAGTGTGCATGTGTGCGCTAGCGACAGAAGCCACGGCAGCAGCGGCATAGGGGACTGCAAGTCCGCTAGCAGCAGCGGAAGCAGCAGCGCCAGCGACGACGAGGTCATCGGTAATGTGCGTGAAAAGGTTTCTCGTCCGACGCCCTGACGGGCTATCCGAGTAGCGGTTCTGTTATGCTAATGCTTAATCCTTCCAAGTCGTCGCTGGGCTGCGAGGCACTGCTGCTGCTGCACTGCTGCTGCTGCACTGCTGCTGCTGCACTGCTGCTGCTGCACTGTTGCCGGTACTGCTGCACTGCTGCCACTGCTGCTGCACTGCTGCCACTGCTGCTACACTGCTGCCACTGCTGCTGCACTGTTGCTGCCGCCGCCGCTGCTGCTGCTGATCCGGCGCGCTGTTGGAAGATTCACGGTGCGAAAGCGGTACTCACCTTCAAAGGGATCCTCGCCATCGACATCCATGCCGGCCGACGACGTTCCTTGTGGCGCGACGCGCAGCGCCGCGATCGAGGCACGCAGGGTCTTGCAGAGGTATTCGCTGGCCGGCGTGAGGGACGCGGCATTAGCCTCGACGGCCTCGACGATCTGGTCGACCACGCGCTCGAGGGCGACGAGCGAGCGGCCGGCACCGACGAGGTTGGGGAGCAGGCGGTTGAAGAAGGACAGAAGCGCCTCGACGGTGCCGGCCTGCGCAAAGAGGCCCTTGCGCGCGCGGATGGCAAACTGCTCCAGCATCGTCATCAGCAGCGGCGAGGCCACCAGGTCGTCGCTGCGCTGCTCGTCGCCGCGGGCATCGTGCGCCTCGCGCAGCAGCTGCCGTGCCGCCTCGATGTACCGGTACGGCGTCTTCATGCAGCGCTGGGCGCACTCGTCGAGCAGGCCCAGCACAAACGTCTGATCGTCGCTCAGCGACTCGACGGGGCCCAAAATGGCACTGCCCTCGCCCTCGCCGGCACCTGCCGCATCGTCGTCCTCGTCGTCCGAGGCCGATGCGGCAATGACGGCCGTGTTGGCGTCGGTGCGGGGCAGGCTCTCGAGCCACGCGGCCAGCTCGCGCTGGTCGTGCTCAAAGAGGGTCGACGGCGCGACGAGGCGGTCAAAGAGCTCCTCGCACGACGCCTTGACCTGGTCGAGCGGCGTGGTGGTGTACACGCTGAGCAGGAGCCCGAGGTAGCTCCTGGCGGGACCCTTGGATCCGCCGGCCCCCGAGACGGTGGCCTTGGCGCTCCAGTCGAACGAGAGCTCGGTAGAGAGTGCAACGATGCGGAGCGCGTGGACCTGGCAGAGGGCCTGCAGGTTGAGCTTGACCGGCTCACCGTCCTCGTCGAGCGTCGCCCGCCGCAGCGGCGCCATGAACGAGTTGGTGAGCAGCTTGCCGACGTCGAAGCGCGAGTCGAGCGCCGAGCTGGGCACGGCGAGGTAGTAGAGCCACAGCAGGCGCAGCGAAACCTCGATGAGCAGAACGTTGCTGCTGGCGCTCGACGGAGGGCTCGTCGCTGCAGCGGCGTCGGCGTCGCCCATCTCCTGATCTGGGCTTGTCCCGTCCGATGCGGCGGCGACAACATCGCCATCCTTGGTGGCGGACGCGCCTGTCGCTGTCGTGGAGCCGGACGGGTCGGACCCGGTGAGGTCCTGCATGAGCTGGACGACGATCGAGATCTCGGGCAAGCGCTTCCGCGCCTCGATCTCGACGGTACGAGCCCTCGTCCGCCACGGCCCGTTGTCGGCCTCGTCGAGCTGCAGCGCGGCATCGTCGCACGTGCGCCGGAAGCGAGAGAGGCGCTCGAGGCAGCGGCAGAGGATCGAGGCGGTCGTATGGCGCACCAGCCGGTCCGGGTTGTGCAGGCCGCGGGTGAAGAGCTGGCGCGAGAGGGGCGACGGCAGGATGTTGGAGAGGATCGTCGACAGCGGCGGCGGCTGCGGAGAGTACGACGAGAGGAACGTCGGAGATGCGGATGCGGATGCGACCTTGGCCTTGGCGGTGCCCTCGGCTATCCTCTGCAGCCTGGCGTTGCGGAAGGACGGCAATTCGAGCGACAGGACGCGGCCGACGTAGGCAGCGTTGCAGAGCCAGCGCGAGCTGGTCCGCGGCTCGAGGGTGAGGCCGCCGCACGCCGTCTCGAGGTAGGGCCCCACCAGCTCCGGGCACGCGCGCAGGATGCCGAGCGCCAGCTCCTGCTGCAGCAGGTCCTCGGTCACCGATAGCCGCGGCAGCACGCCCGACAGGGCCTTGTTGTAGATGTGGCGGCTGAAAGCCTTGCGGCTCCGGCTGCCGCCGATGCGCGCCACGACGCCGGCCTCGTCGTCCTCGTCTGCCTCGTCTCCGGCCTTTGCCAGCTCGTCGTCGGCCGCCGCGAGAACGCCGTCGTGGTCGTTGGCGGCGCCGCCCGCGCCTCCGCTGGCGCTGGCGAGCCTGGGATACCAACCGCGATCCGGGTAGCAGACGCCGAAGCCGGCGTGGGTCGAGATGCTGAGGAGGAAGTGGTGGGCGAGCTCGGCGACCGAGGATCCGCGGACGCGCGCGCCGTCCTCGTCGACCAGCAGGCGTTCCTCGTCGCGCTCGTAGAGCTTGATGATGCAGGCGCACGCCCACTCGTTGAGAAGGCCGGCCTTGCGGGCGCGGGGCACCTTGACGTCGCAGACGAGGTCCTCGTGGAGCGAGACGAGGACGTGGTGGACCACGTCGGGCGGGTCGGCGACGAGGCCCTTGAGCACCTGCGGCAGGTGGTCGCGGCCGAGGTCGAGCAGCTGCACCTTGAGCGACGACGAGTAGGTCTGGGAGAGGAACGCGAGCAGGAAGAGGATGTAGAGGGTGCGGATGTCGGGCCGCTGGAGCGAGACGACGCCGTGCTGGTCGCCCGACGGATCGGCGACGGGCGGGCGGGCCCGCGACTTGCCCTTGTCGTGCTTCTTGTCGGCCTTGTCGCCGGCATTGGCGTGGTCGATGGCACGCCTCCTGCGGCGGTTGAGGAGGCGCGGGAGGCTCTTGAGGGCCCAGTTGAAGCGGTCAAAGACGCGCGAGGCGAAACGGCCGCGGCCGAAGCTGGCCATTTCGCGGAGGAGGACGAGGCTGGCGAGGACGGCGACGTCGTTGTTGACGTGGCTCTGGTCGCGCGCCTTGCCGTGTCCCGCCGCTGCGCCCGACGAGGTGCTGTTGGAGATGTAGTTTTGCAGCAGGTCGAACCACGGCTCGTTGGGCGAGAGGAGGCGGGCGATGATGGCCTCGCCGAGCGCCTGGGTGGGGAAATGGGCCGAGAGGAGGGGGAGGAAGTGGGCGAGGACAAAGATGGGCAGCGGCAGAAGCGGGCCTAGGGACTGCTTTTCGGCGAGATCCCATGCGGCAAAGATGGACCTTGCGGCTGCGGCTGCGGCCGACGAGGGTTGGCTGGATGGCCCGCTGCTCTCCAAGGCCTGCGCAGCTGCTACGTCTGCGTGGTCCTGGCAGAGCTGGCAGTACTCCTGTACGATCTTGATCCTCGCATCGGTCGGGGGTATCGAGGTCGGATTGGCCTGTTCGCTCCAGGTGAGGTTTGTCTGGAGGCGGAGCTGGTGGAGCGCCTGCCTGAGCGAGTCGGCCGAGGTGGTGTCGAGGGCCTTGTGGATGGCTGCGCCGGTGAAAAAAGGCGCGCGGGATGCGGCGCTGCTGGTCTGTGGCCGCTTCGAGGACGATGGCGCCGCCGATGTTGGTTCGTCGCCTGTCGTCGTCGCCGTCGTCGTCGTCGTCGTCGTCGTCGTCGTCGTCGCTGCCGCGGTCGTCGATGGCCCTGCCTCTGGTTGAAGGGGGGATGGTGCGGCGGCGGGTTCAGTGGTGGTGGCCGCGTGCGATTGGGGAGCGCCCCTCTTCCTCTTCTGTGCTGCCATGGTTGCCGACGATGTCACGCCCGCGCCTTGGATGGACGGCAGCGGCAGGGACAGAAAGCGAGGGGGGGCGTGGATAGGGCTGGTGGTGGTGGCTGTGCTGGAAGCTGGGAAAGACGACAGCAGAGGCGAGCTGAGGCGAGCTGAGGCCCGCCAGAGGCGCGCGGAGAGCGAGCTGCCAGGAAGGCACCGCTGCGCTTTTTTCCCTTTTCTTCCTGGATTTTTTGGATTTTTGGACGGCGGCTTTTTTTTTTTTGGAGGGCGCCGGCGTGCGTGGCACCTGCGGCAGCGGGGGTTTGAGTTCGGATCCGTGCCGGTGCGCGTCGCTCGTTGGGGACCCTCCTCTGGCTTCTGCTCGACCTCAGCAGACCTCTCTCTGACTGCACACTGCCGCCCCCTGGGCTCTCTGCTGGACTGCCATTTCGACGCCGCTGCGGTCACGGCCATGTTGCAGTCGGCGCAATCAACAAGGCGTGTCGATCGTCAGCCTCGCGCTTGCCCCACTGACCCGTCCGCGTCGCTGCTCGTCCTGGTCCACCGTCTTCGCTCGCGCGTTCTTCCTCCACCCTCGGTCTCATCCATGTCACTGGCCATCAAAACGGCGCTGTCTGTGGCCAGATCTGACCCGCACAATACACGATGCACGCCCCGCCAGGCTTTCGTCAAAGAGGCGCATCGCGGACCTCGGTCCGACGCGGCGACAGGTGGCCTTGGTCGGTCCGGTAGAGGGAGACGGCCGAGAAGGCCAGGTCATGGGTGCAGAGTGACGAGTGACCCAGGAGGCCTTCGTGCTGGCCCCATCGCATCGCGACGACGCAAGCGAGATGCTACGACGACGATGCCGCCGCCGCCGCCGAAGACGACCTCTTTGCGTTGATCCTGGCGGCGTAGACGGGCGAGAGGTCAAACACCTCGATAAACTCGGTATCGGCGATGCGTGAGCCGGCGAAGCGCGCATACTCTTCAAAGATGGACGTGTGCGACCAGCCCTGCAGGCGTCGCAGCAGGCCCGCCATGCACCCGACGCGGTACTTGCCCTTGTTGCAGTGGATCAGCATCGGCAAGTTGCGCGGATCCAGAATCGTCAGTAGCGCCGAGGTCACCATGGTCGAATCCACTGCGAGGCGCCATGAGGGCGAGAGAGAGGGACGGTCAAAGAGGAAGGATGAAAAGGTGAGATGGTATCGACGGTGACATAGAGGCCTCGGGGGGAGGGGAACAACCTACTCTCGGCCAGCGGCTCCTTGTTGAGGTCGAGGCGGAAGTGAAAGATTCTGATACCCTGACTCTGGGCCCACGTCGTCATGTTGGTGCGATACTCTTCGTTGGCAAGGTACCTGCTCGGCAAGACCATGTTTGCGTGCGTCAGTACGAGGTTCAGCATCTCTAGGCCCGCTCGCTCGCTCGCTCGCCTTCCCACCACCTTTTTGAAAGGTCGATCTCCGAGCTGGGACAGTCGGGGGTACGCACATGACGCTCTTGAGGTTCAAGCGCTTGAGGAAACCAAAGTTGCGCTCGTTTGGATGCCCGCTTCGGTAGACGCCCGGCGAGATCATGTCAAAGTTGAGCGGCGGCACGACGGTCAGGTTCGACTGGAAATGGTTGTGCAGCGGGGGCGTCGCGGCTTGCGTCGCTGCACGTGCCGTCGTCGTCGTCGTCGCTGTCGTCGTCGCCGTCGATATGTTGGGACGTGCTGCCGTCGGAGTGGTCGGTGGTTGTGTCGTCGTTTGCTCGCCGACTTTCGGCGCAGTTCCTGTCGCTGTCGTCGATGCGAGCGTCGCGCCCATCGCGCCCGGTGGCGCAACGGGTGCGCCCGCCGCTGCTGTTGTCGGCGCTGCAGCTTGAGGCGGTGCATCCGGTAGAGAGGCGCCTACACCGCCGCCACTGCCACCGCCACCCGAAGGACCGAAGAGCGGCGCAGTCATGGCCGCCGTCGATGCGAGTGTAGAGTCGGCCGCCGTCGTCGTCGCCGTCGTATCCTCGGTCTCGGCTCCGGCCTCTTCTGAGCGTCCGACTACGTCGCTCGTCGTCGTCGTCGTCGTCGTCGTCGCCTCTGCTGGCGGCCTTGCAGGAGGGACCCCGTCCTCTCGGCCCTTGTCGTCGCGCAGCCAGGTCCTGCATTTGCGAGGCGTCGCATCGCGGCAGCACATCGAGGGCAATGGATTGGCATCAGTACCGAGTCGGGTGCTTCCTGCGGGACCGTAGCAGACGTCCGGGACCGTGTCGCGGTTTGCTACATCGATTACCGTTGGGATTCGCAGCGGAGCCATCGTCGTCGCCCGTCCTCCACGCTACTCGTATGGTACATTTTCGGTCGTTCCGTCTGCGATCAGAGAGATGGCCGACATCGTCCAGCCCAGCGCCCAGCGCCATTCGCCCTGGCCCTCTTCCTCGTCGCGTGCCGTCCTCCAAGTCTTGTTCCTGGCGGATCCTCCCGTTGTGCGGCCGTTGGCTGCGGGGGGCTGAACGAGACTCACGAGGCCTTTGCCGCGGCACCGCTGCCGCTGATGCCTTGCTGCTCGAGCTGCTCGCGCCGCTCCCTTCGTCGCTTGACGTCCCAGTTGTGGACGCGGGCCGTGTTGACCTCCATGATGGTGATTTGCTCGCGCAGGAAGTCGAGGTCCTCTTTTGCGGCCACGAGGCTCGTCTCTGCGCTCTTGAGCTTGGTGGTGAGGAGCTCGATGGCCTCGTCGAGCGGGTAGGAGAGCATGACATTGGCCTGACGGGTGCAGGCGGACAGAGGTTCGGCCAGGGTGGAGCCGAGCAGGGCATCTCGACTCAGCGAACAAGGCAACGGGGGACAAGCACAGGGAAGGAGAGCGGGCGCCACGTACTCCGAGCCAGAGGTGGACCTTGTCGGTCTGTTCGAGTTCTGCTTTTGCGTAGAGGGTCTCGTTGAGCTCAAAGGTCGTCTTGATCGGGTCGGGGTTGTCCTGCGGCGGTCAAGAAGGAGCGCGGTGGAAGGGCAAAGAGAGGAAGGAGTGTCAGCGTGGACAGATGGAAGGAGAAGACCCGGGGGCAGTGACGCGCGCCGATCCGTGTCGAGGATGCTAACCCTGCTCTGCTTGAGGAACTCGACCATCTGGAGGGTTTTCCTGATGTCGGGGATCTTGTCTTCGAGGCCGCCCCTCCTCTGTGCCGTGTTCATCTCCATGAACTTGTATTTGCTGAGCGCGAGGGAGGGGTGGGATAGCGTGCAAGCGGAGGGATGGGAGATGGATTGAGCGACGTACGGCCATGGGCCAGGCGAAAGGGGGGGGGGGGGGGGGGGGGGGCGTGGGGCGTGGCG